ATCGTGTCCGGGTCCGCGTACATCGTGGGTGTGTCCGGGAGCGGCTCCCATTTGACACAGCAAGCCTCCGAGACCTGCGGCGGGCCCCGGGGCTCGGCTGTCAACACCGCGGCTGGGCACACGGCGCCGAGGCGGCCGCGCATGCGAGGGTCCGGTCTACGGGGAGGGGCCGCGCCAGCAGGAAGACAGCGTCTTCAAAACAGCACGCCGGCCTGCCCGGCCGCCCGGGATGCGCAGCAGGGCGCGTGTGCTACACCGGTGCGACATCTACCCTCAGCCACCCCGCTCAAGATGGCCTCCACCGCCTCCGCGGCAGCCGCCGCCGCCGTCGCCGCCTCCACCCGCCGCGCCTCGACGGCGGCGGCCGCGGCGCGCGCCTCCGCCTCGACCTCCGCCCTCGCCCTCGCCGCTGCCGCCGCAGCCGCTGCCCTCTCTGCCGCCTCCGCTGATGCGGCCTCCGCCGCCGCTGTCCGCGCAACCGCCGCCTCCTGAGCGGTGGCGGCGGTGCGCGCTGCCGGAAGGACCTGCCCGAGGCACCTGGCGGCACCGGCGGATGCGAGGGGTCGAGAGGCAGACGCGGAGGCCTGGTCGGGTAGGCGAGGGCAGGCCGAGCGCAGGAGAGGGCCGGGGGCGGGGAGGCGCAGCGCACGAGCTGCGGCGGTGCGGGGAGGTGCGGGGGCGGGGGGTGGGGGTGCTCGGCCCAGAGAGCGGGCCCCACGGCGCGGGGGCGCGGCACCGAGGAGCGGCGGTGGCGATTTCGGCGCGGAGGAGCGGGCAGAAGGGAAGCAGGGCAGAAAGGGTGGCAAAAAGGGGTGTCTGGCGCGCTCTCGGTAGCTCCTTGGAAGAGGGCGACTAGGCGACTAGGCGACAGGCACGGGGGCGCGGGGGCGGCTGTGGCGGACGGTACTTTAGACAGCCGATGCAGTACGAAGGCGGGCGGGTGACGTAGTGGAGAGGGACGCCGTGCTGGAGGAAGAGCGAGAGGTCGTTGCGAAGCCGCGCCGCCGTGTGAGGGCGCAGGCCAAACCTGCGAGCCACGGGGGCGGGCGAGTCATGGTACGTCATGGCGCGAGTGCGGCTGCCGTCCGAGGAGGAGGGAGCGCGAGGGGCGCGCTCGGGCTATGCGCCCCCCCCCCCCCTCCGAACCCGACCTAGCGCTCTTCACCGTGTCAGAAACGGCCCTTCGACCTCTTGAGCCAGAGAGGCGCCCGTCACGCCGGCGGCACGGAGCGGCGAGGCGATCGCATCGAGCTCGAGCCACGCGAGCAGGTGAGACACCTCGTCCACCGAGAGCGACTGGAGCGCTCTCCGCGTGTGCCCCACCCGGCCGGCGCCAGGCGCCGCCGCCGTGGCGCGGGCGAGCCGTTCGCGGGAAAGCTGGAGAAGCTCGAGCGCGGCCGCCGCCTCCTTTTCCGCCTGACTCACGAGCACATCGGATGCCGCATCGGAGGCGTCCAGGGCGCCGGCGGAAGTGGCCGGCATCGGCGATTGAAACATAAAGAATTCCTGCGGCGCCGAGGCGCTCAGCGTCGCGGGCTCGCGGCATCCACCTTTAGAAGGCCAGCTCGGCACGTTGGGCAGAGCAAATCATTGTCAGTGTCACAACAAACATCTCTCTCTCTCTCTCGATGTATGTATCATCATCAGATGTAGGGCGTGAGAGAGTGTTTGTTAGGGCGTGTGCAACGGCCTGTGCTGCAAAAAACAAATAATTCTAGGTGGGGTGTTCAAAGTATATAATAGGATAGGATTATAAAAATCGGGCGGTTGCCAGCGAGTACACTCGGCCGCTTGGTTTTGCTATGCCGGGCAAGAAGGGATGGTAGTTGTGGCACCATTTCAGAGGTGGGTTGGTAGTTGTAGCTGACCAAAGTCGGCGGCGAGCGTCGACAAGTTTTGAGCTTGGCGAGACGGAAGCGGCGGGGACCGTCGCTGCTGTGGCAACCCGAGCGCAAGGGGGGATATGCCACAGGAAACAGGAAAGGGCTGTTGTGGGTTGGTGCCCGCACCCACTGTGGCTGCCTTTGACGGCCGGCAGCGGCCCGTCAGCGTGGTGATTCCCTCGTACGCGCGGATGGAGTACCTGGTTTGGAGCCTCAGCCTGCTGCTAAAGCTCGAGCCACTTGAGCGCAAGGGCTCTGAGATCCTTGTTGCCCACGGCAGCAACGCCAGCCTTGCATACGTCAGCGGGGCCGCCTGCAAAGCACAGCCCGCCTGCCACTCGCCAAAGGTTTGGCACGTCGACGTGATCGATTTGGACGCGAGTGGGATCGGTGTAGCGAGTCGGTACTTTGCGGCGGCCAAGGCGCGGAACGACATCCTTGTGCACCTCGATGACGATCTAGTACCCAGCCAGACGATGCTGCAGGATTTGGTTGACAAGGTTGCGAGCGAGGCTGGCTTTCCTAGCTACCCGCACGCGCACGCACCCGGGCTTTACGGGGCGAGCTCGCAGTTTCGATGCTGCGGGGTTAGCGGGCTGTTGAATTGCAGGTATCCGCGCGACTCGCCCACGCTCGTCCTTACTAGCCTCGCCGCTTGCTCCAAAGCCCTCAACACGCGGTACCTTGACTTTTTTGACGCGTACCGACCCCTCCTCCTTCTGAATCGAGGCAACGGAGAGGATATTACTTACTCGCACTTCGCCTGGCTGCAAGGGCGTGGGGCCGCGTCAGACAATGTACGTCACGTGGGCAACTGCTCTTCTGATGCTCCCTCGACCGCAAATGGTAGCCGCGAGGCGAAACCGTGGCAGCAAGGTCTACGCTCGCGCTACAGGTGGGGCAGAACGATCACCAACAAGTGTGGTCCTACAGCAGCAAAGTCCACGGAGCGTACGTGCTCGAAAGGAAAAGGAGAGTTTGTGCCTTTAAAGCCGATGAAAATGGGGGTGCCCACGTTCTCGGATAAGAGAGACGTCGTCACCCACACGAAGTTCAAGGCCAGCCGTGACGCCATGTGTGTCGCCCTCTTCAGCATCCAAGGCTCGAGCCACTACCCGTTTGCGCAGTTGCAGGAATCGCTGCTGCAGGCCACTACTCGTTCGCCGCCGATGGCACGCGTGCTGCCTCTCCAGAGCATCGGTGCTACTGTTGTCGAGGCGGTCAGCGCCGTGGAGCGAGAACTGCTGGCGGCATATACCGCGAATCCGAAACAATCGGCCTGCGCGTGCATGCGTGCAAGCAACTACTCCCAGCAATGGGGCCTCATCTTTGTGCATGTGCCCAAGACCGGCGGGACGTCCATCGAAGAGGCGCTACTTGGCGGGGCTGTTGGGCCTGGCACTAAGCTGCACTCGTGCCACGCGTCTCTGAGTGACCTACTCGAGTGCGCCGCGAACTCCACCCCAGCCTTCTATGTCTGGCGCCACCCGCTGGACCGGTTGGTTTCGCTCTTTGAGTATGCCAAAGCAGGCGGCAACGGTGAGAGGAACGACCTCTTGAGGTACGCGTGGATGAGAGATCGGAACTTTAGCAACTTTGTGCACGAGCTAGCTCGCATCCGAGGGACGCTCGGGCAGCTTCCGAATATCTTCAAGACGCAGAGCTCATGGATGGGCTATCGCAAGCGCGCGACAGACGAGCGGGCAACGATATCATCGGCCACGCGTCGAAACGGCACACAAGCTGAAGTGATTGCGTTGCACTTTCACGCTCTTACACAGGGTTGGCGCGGTCTCGCCAACCAGTACCCGCGCTTGCCACAAAGAATTGGCCACTCCCGAGTCAGCCGTCACGCATGCTGGCCGTCCTATTACACAGATCCTTTGATTAACGAGTTGACGAGGCTGCTGTACGAGGATGACTTCGAGCTGGTTCACCCCTCGGTCGTGGAGGACGCACGCAGCGCAGCGCAGGCCTGTATAATGGGTCAACCACGCGGTCTATCATTAGGTAGCTGATAGGGGCGGTCCGTAATTAGATGAACGAACCCAAGATCACGGACACACAGTCGAGAAAGAAAAGGAGGGCCAACACGTCACACCAATCCTCGCTAGCCAACGCGGCACTTGGAGCACTTGGAGTGCAGTCCGATTGGATCTTCGTCATCACACGCACGCCGCTCGGAGCGTATGGCGAACGGATTTCCCCAAGGGCTCTTGGGGTGTGTGATAGAGCGAGCTGGGGATGGGTGGGGATGGGTGGGGATGGGTGGGGATGGGTGGGGATGGGTGGGGACCTCGGGGATCAGCGGGACACGTCGGCCGCGCGCTCCACAGCTGTGCATGTAACATGTACATGTACATGTTGTCGTCAAAGTCGTGAAGTACCTTCGCGCGCCGCGCTCATTACGTCCCATTTGGGACGGTGTGAACTCGCCTGCCTGGCGCCATGGCTCGTCCATCATCAAATTCATTGAGAGGTCTGTCCCTCGCCTGTCTGGGTGTCACCCTAGTGCCCGTGTAGGCGACGGGCGCCCTAGCTAAGAAATTAATTTGGTTTCAGCGCACGCCGAAATTTGCTGACAGTGAAGCTATCCATGCACTCGCTCTTCTCAGCCTCTGGCCCACGCAAGTCGGACGATGCGGCGCTCACCTTCCTCGCGCAGGGCATCAAGGCGTGGCTGGAGGCGCAGCTGCCCAAGTATGCCGTGATCCACCCAGTTCAGACGAGCTGCCTCAAGAACGCCGTGTCGTCTGTCGAGTTCTTGCCCGAGCTGGAGCGTGGCTTGGCCGCCGCAGCCGCCACACGTGCGCCCGCGCCTGACTTTGGCGACGACGAGGAGCTCGAGGAGGCACGCCGCGCACGTCCGCCACCGGCTCCCGCCCCCACCGCCCCCGCCTGACTTCTGAACCAGCCCGTACGGGGATGGCTGGGGATGGCTGGGGATGGCTGGGGATGGGCGGGGATGGGTGGGGATGGGTGGGGATGGGTGGGGATGGGTGGGGATGGGTGGGGACCCTACTGTGTGAATACGTTTTCCACGTATTCCAAATGACCTCCCAGAGGCCTGTATTCTGCCGTATTCCACCCGTATTCCACGTATTCCATGGAATACGCCGTATTCCAAGCTCCAAAAATGGACGTATTCCGTAAAATTTTCTTCGCTCCGCGAATTCACACAGTAGGGTGGGGACCTGGGGGATCGCTGGGGATGGATGGATCCGGATCGAGCGTGTGGCAAAACATTGATGCAATGCGCTCATGAGTTCCTTGACAGAAGTAAAAATTACATGTATTGACTGATGGCGATCCCAACGGAGGGGCATGCGTGTGATGACGAAGATCCATTAACCTCACATCCAGGGCCGGGGAGCTGAGAAGCGCACCCAGCGAGCCGGATGATCGGTATATCGGGCTACGGGCTAGAGAGCCCTGACCCCTAGCTAGGGGGGGTGCGCGTTCGCAGGGAGAGGGCCGTAAAGTAAACACGGGTCTCCGGTACTTCTGATAGTTGCGTTTCTTTCGCGATTATTGCACGCCCCTTGCTTCGCCTCCCTCCTGCCGTGTAGGGGATTCCTGTATGCGTATTCACCCAGTGCCGTCCCCAAATGCAGTCGGCAGCGGCAACGCCCAGCTCTACGTCGAGATCGGAAGCCGCGAAACGCAGTTCGGCGGCAGCAAGACGGCGGACGCATCGGGGCTCGGCGGCGGTCTCAACAACATGCTCATGAACGTGGCGCAGCTTCTGCACGACTCGTGCGGCGGTGGACGGCACGGCAACACGACCCTCGTCCTGCCGCAGCTCACCTCTGGCTGGCGCTTCTTCAAGGCCTCGCAGCCGGGCTCCCGCATCAAGGAGTCGGTGGAATTTGGAGATGTCTTCGACGCTGCCGCCTTCGCGCAGCGCGTGGCGCCGTGCCGCGTGGCGGAGGTGGCGCCCGTCGGCGTCGCCGTGCAGGAGGCCGCTGTCGTCGGGATCAACCGGCAGTGGCCGTACGAGGCGTGGCTGCCTCTGGTTTACGGTGCCCTCGCACCGAGCCGCAAGCTGCAGCCGGCAGTGGCGCAGATGGTTAGGCGGGCAGCGGCGGGCGGAGGGCCGCGGTGGGCGGCGGTGCACCTGCGGATCGAGCGTGACTGGTGGGTCATCAGCGGCTTTTGCACGGCGCGCCGCTTCCCGCATCGCCGCTGTTACCCTCCGTCCGAGGTCGCATCGCTGACCGCCGCGAGCCGGCTGAGGAGGAACGTGAGCGGGGTGGTGCTCATCTACGCGGCGGATAACGTGGCGAGGAGCGGGCCCGAGGTACGGCCCGAGCAGTTCGGAGCGCGCGTCCTCTCCCTGCCGTCTGCGCCCGAGAGCACCGGGCACTAGATGCGGAGCACGGATGCGGAGTACGAAGACCCCTCGAGGCTCTAGCTGGCAGCGAGCTCGGCTGGCTCCCACTGCACTGCTCAGCCGCATGCACTGCACTCGCGGCCGCTGCGCGCACGCTCTGCGCCGAATGCGCTGCAGGAGGAGTCACACCCCGAGTTCTGCTCCAGGCATGGCGTACACGCTGCGCACCGCCGCCGAGTTCTTCACCGCCGCCGCGGCGCCGGGGGGCTTCTACGGCACCGCTCCCCCCGCCCCGCCCCTCCTCCTTCTCTCGCGGGATCGCCCGAGATCAGCGGAGGCCATCCGGCGACGAGCCCCCGCTGCAGGCAACTCCTTCTCGACATTCTCCGCCGGGGTGGCGCTGCACCGCAAGTTCGCGCGTGGGAGTGCGGCCGCCGCGCCGCGCGCCGCGTACGCCTACGACTGCCAGCCCGCCCTCGTGCGAGGCATGCGCAGCAGCGAGCTCTTCCGCACGGTGAGTGCCGCGCGGTGCGCCGCCGCGGCGGGCGGGGTGGCGGCGGCGCGCTCCACTGACGCGGCGCGAGGAAAGGGCGTCAGGTCGGGACTGTCGCAGGGGCGATAGGACGATATTCACACCGATATATAAAGCACACCGATATATAGCTCTGGTGCTGCTGCACATCGTGTCACCGAGATATATGTTAATACTCGATCGCGCCACAGCCCACGCGCCACGCCGGCCCACTGCTGCGTCGCAGCGGTGCACGGCTACCACACGCGATGCTCCATCATGCATCAAGAGAGTCTCTCAAGAGAGTCGAAGCGCCGGGGGGCCGCTTGAGAGTGGCCTGGCCCTGGGAGCTGGGGGGGGGCAGTGAAACCACCCCCGCCTCAACCCGCTCAGGGACGGACGCATTTCCCCCCTTTCAAAGGCGGTTTCGAAGTTGATGAGACCTCGCCCCCCCCTCTCGAATGAAAGGCGTAAAAAGAGGCGCGGAACAGGCCGGAAGCGCCGCTTGGACGTGGGTCACACAACGGCAGCGCTCCAGACGCGCTCTGGTAGCTGCCAATGAAGCTGTAGCCCATCGTGCGCGCGCCGGACGGCCATTGCACCTCTACTGCAGTGCCCTCCTGCACCGAGAGCGACGCGTCAAACCTTTGCTGCCCATGACCGCCGGCGGCTCCGAGCTCGGGCGAGCGAGCCCTGGCTGAGCTGAGCCTCTGCGGTCGCAATGCAGCGCTGCGGTCGGTGCAGAGTGGCCGTGTGCGTACGGCGTCGTACGCGCACGGCCGCTCTGCCTCAGTGTCGTGCGGCTTGGGCCAACTGAGGTCGCTCTCCGACCTCGCTCGCCGAGCTCACAATCCGGCGCGAGCCGCATCGAGTGGAAGTTCGACTTCAGCTCCCGCGAGTGGATGCACTGCCTTGTCGAGTGCAAGCAGTTGGGCTCCGCCGGGAGCATGTGGTGCAACATGTTCTCTGGGCGCCAGCAGACGCGAGCGCGCAAGCGCGTGTTGAACCGGACGCTCCATAGCAACACTCAAGATATGTGGCCCCATCCCTATGCCCCACCTTCTTCTCCGTTGCCAGTCCCCGAGAACCCCACTATATAGCGCCACCTCGTGAGCTGTCCTGTGAGCTGTGTGCTGTGTGTCCAGCAGTCCGGACCCGGTGATACGGCCGGTGACACGTGCCTCGTGTCGGCTCCCGAGCCAACCAATCGTGTGCAACGTGTGTGTGCGTGTGGGCCCGTCCTCCTTGCTTGGAGGTGTGTAAGACTGATGACTGACTGAGGGTAGGTGGGAGGCAGAGTTTGTGTCGTAGGTGTGAAGAGTCCCCCGGGAAGAAGCCGCACCAGCGGAGTCTCCGGCGGCCAGAGCCAGGGCGGCATAACTCTATCGAAGAAGTTATGCCCGAGCTTAAGCTCGAGACTGGGAACACTGAGGAGCAGTGGGCGATGCTCAGTGCGCTCGCGCATACGACCGCGGCCGCGCCGGCGGCCAAGCAGTCTCCGACTGCCGACCAAATTGTCGGGGAGTTTGTCGCTGCGCTCGCCGCCAAGCAGCCGACGCCCGGCGGCGGCGCTGCGGCTGCCGTCGGCGCGGCCGTCGGTGCAGCCGCCGCGGCGATGGCCGCCGCGTACACGACACGGAAGAAGGACCGCGAGTCTGGCGCCGCAGCAGCGGCAGAGGCCCTGATTGCAACGCTGGACACGGCAGCGGTGCTGGCGGCGGCGGACGCGGACGCCGTGGCGTACGCCGACCTGCAGCGCTCGTGGAAGGACGCGGACATGTCGGCCGAGGAGAAGGCCGCGGTGGAGGCACGCGCGCTGGCGGTGCCGGTCCAGCTGGTCGAACGGTGAGGAGAACAGAGAGAGAGGAAGGAGACACGCACCAGTCTGGGACGCCGGCCTGACCGCCTCGCAGGTGCCACGCGTACGTGCTCGCCATCCAAGCCTTCCTCCCCTCGTGCAACCCAAACATCACCTCGGATGCAAAGGCGGCCCTCACCGCTCACCACTCACCCTCTGCCCGGCCCTCAGTGACTCCCGCCCCCACCACGCCCCTCGCAAAGGTTGGTATCCACCAGCTCGCGGGCGCGGCGCGAGCAGCCTTCCAGACGGCGCTCGTCAACTCTCCGCCGGCCGCCGAGCGCGAACGGCTGCGCGGGCTGCTGCGCGAGATGCGGGAGGTCGAGGAGGCGCTGCTCGAGGGCGAGGCGTGTCCGTGAGACAGTCAGTGTCCAGACACAATCTCTCGCGCTCTGTGCACAGGGTAATCTGTGTGATGCTGATGGGACACACAGCTCACACTCAGGGAGGGGGGGGCCTCGGCTCTCCTGAGACTCTCTGCGGAGAGGAGAGGGGCCTCGAGTCCCTCGAGCGGAAGCAGGCTCTTGAGTCTTGTAATAGCCGAGGAGCCAGGCGAGAGCGGCGGGATCACGCTCATCACACCACGCAACTCATTTTTTTGCTTTCAACACCGCGACGGTCGGGCGCGCGGGAGCGGTGAACGCCGCACGGCGCCCCCGTCTCTCGCGTCTCGGTCTCCGTCGCTCATCTCTCGCGCGCCAGCTCCACGGCGCGCTGCTCAACTGTCTCTCACCTAGCGGGAGCCCACGGTGGGGGGGTGTCTCCACCTTACGCAACGTCCCTCAGCCGCCGTGCGCGCCCGCTGCCGCGCCGGCGCCCACTGCCTCCCCATGCTCTCCCTCCGCGGCTGCGAGCGCCTTTTGCCGCCTGCGCTGCCGCTTCGTGAGGAGATCCCCGCGCCGCATCGCCGTCTCGGCGGATCGCTGTCGCTCCCCGAGGACGACCTTGATCATCGCCATCGACTTGCGCGTCATGCGCGCCCGCTCGGGGTGCGGCATCGTCGTTTTGCGCCGTTCGTGCAGCAGCTTGACCGACGCGAGCATGTTTCGCTCGCGGAGCAGCACGGCCCATAGCTTCTGCAGGTCAGCGTCGCTCTTGAGCCGGATCTCGGCGGCGGACCAGCGGCGGCCGGGTGGAGGCAGCTTCGGATCCACCTCGTACGGATCCACAAACGCCTCCAGGTACGGCGCAAGAGACGGTGCTTCGCTAGCGTCGCCGCCGCTGCCGTCCTCGTCGCCCGACGGCTCGGGACCCGTGCTCAGCGGGCGGAGAAGCGGCGAGGGCGCACCGGCGGGGCGGTGCAGGCGAGCTCCTCCCAAGGCGGCGCCTCGCACAGTGAGGCGCGACGCGCCGCGAGAGAGTGGGCGCAACAACATACCGGTCCGTACGTGGTGTGTACAGTCGGCCCAGGGGCGTGGTTGAGGGGTTGAGTTGAGGCCCCCCCTGTTGAGTATATGAGCGACCCACCTCGAGGGTTGCTCCTGACTCTGGCCTTTTCTGGGTCACGTAGCCACACCTCGCCTCCTTGGTGCGAGTGGCTGCCAGTTCGACTCTGGGGAGGATCGAACCATCAACATGGTACCTCCGGTGAGATCTCCCAGGTCGTCGGCGGTCTGCGAAGATTTGAGTCCCTTCGTGTGTGAGCTACGAAAAAGATCGAAAATAGTGCCCAAGGTAACCCGGGGGAACTCGCGTCCCGGAACCTCTGCCCTACCTCGAAACACGGCGGTATCGGATATACAGCAGCAACCTCGTGCTGTGTCGTGGGGGCGTGTTGAGTATATGAGCGACCCACCTCGAGGGTTGCTCCTGACTCTGGCCTTTTCTGGGTCACGTCGCCACACCTCGCCTCCTTGGTGCGAGTGGCTGCCAGTTCGACTCTGGGGAGGATCGAACCATCAACACCCCCTCAACCATCTGGTTGACGGTTGAGACCCCCCGTCAACCCTTTAGTTGAGGGTTGAGGCCTCCGGGGCCTATTCACAGGCTCGCGCGTGATCACAAGATAAACTGGAACAGCCCTGCCGCCAAAAAAATCGCCGCCTGCGGCGCGCTCTTGCGCTCCTCGTACCTCGAGCGCAATCCATAAGTAGGAGACGCTCACTGTCGGCAAGAGTCACGGTGAATGCTGCCGCATAAAAGCAACAGAGTCGCGGTTGGCGCGATGGTCTTGGCGCGGTTAACGACTTGACGTTGCACACGGCCATAGACGCAGGATCTGTTTGGCGAGCCTCAAGCAGCGAAAGCAGGCGCGACGAATAATGTCAATCCTGAGATCTCAATTTTGGCGCTAGTTTCGTTTCCTGGTACATCACGACGACTTGGGTCTCATGTAGCTCGACGGCTCTTCGACGGCTCTTTCTGGTTGGATCAGACAGTGCTATCAGTCAACAACACAATGCCGAGAGCAGGGCGGCCTTCGAGCAGGCGGCCTTCGAGGCAACTAAGTTCCTGCTGCATTTTGCCCCTCAACGTACAACTTGATGGCGGGCGGACGTGTCGAGCATGGATCGAGAGCACCATGGCCACAGGCGGCGTAAGCCGTCTGCTCCAGGTGCTTTTTGCACTGTTTTGCCCATGTCCACAGGCGGCGTAAGCCATCTGCTCCAGGTGCTTTTTGCACTGTTTTGCCCATGTCCACAGGCGGCGTAAGCCATCTGCTCCAGGTGCTTTTTGCACTGTTTTGCTCATGGAGCAAGTGGCTAAAGCCACCTGCATTTTTGTGCAAAAGGCTCTAAAATGGCCGAAATCCCTGTTGGCGCACGTGGCGATTGCCACGTGTGCCTCGGCTAAGAGGCCTCTCCAGGCGAGAGTCAGGTGGCACGACGCGAGTCAGGTGGCGTGGAGCCTCCTACCTGGGCCCATCTCTCTTGCATCACACCTCCCATTCACGCACGTAGCTGAAGCAAGTACTCGTAAAAACGGCGCGTCAAATGCAGCATCCAGGCGTCTAAAGAAGACGACATGAATGGTTCACAGAGAATGTGTTCAGACCTTTGGCTTTGCGCGGGTGTGTGTGTGTGGACAGCCATTCCGCGTGGTTGAGGGGTTGAAGGGGTCTGTCAACCACTTGGTTGGTTGAGGGTTGAGGCCTCTGTCAACCACGTGGATCGTGGTTGACAGTTGAGGCAATCGCCCTGTGTCTTCCTAGTAAATAAGAAACACGGTAACGAGCTAACGAGCGCTTTGCCGCCTGCTTGTGCTTGACGGCGTTGACCGAATTGGCACGCGGGGCATGGGAGTTGACCCAGTTGAAAAAAGAGGCGCTGCGGAGGCCGCGGGGGGAAAGAAGGCTCCTAAAGAAAGAAAGAAAGAAAACAGACAAAACCAGACGAGGGATGGGGAAGGAGGACAGACAGGGTCCCCACCTGCACGAGCAGGATTTTGGAAGGACGATCAGGGGGACAGGTGGGGCTCTCCTGCTCCTGACAAGGGTAGGGACAGAAGGCTCCTACGCGCGCCCGGCCCGAGGAAGGTTTTTCTCGCCCGCCTCGCCGCCCAACAGCGTGGCGGATTTTTTTCAACCAGCGCGGGCGTGCGCCTACGAGCGAGCCTCGACACCTTTGAGCGATGTCCACAGTGAGCGCCTGCCTCTCCCGCTACCATCCCGCCCTGGCCTCCGTCGCCCCTCGCCGCTGCCACTCTCGCCGCCGCCCAAAACTCCGCTTCCGCCCACGCCGCCCCCACGCTCGCCGCCGCCGCCCACACCGCCACCACCAATCCCTCCGCCCCCACGCCGCCCCCACCTTCGCCGCCTCCTGCCTCTCCGCGCCGCCCTACCCACGCCGGCGGCACCAGCCCCTTCGCCGCCCACGCCGCCTTCACCCTCGCCGCCGCCGCCCTCGCCGCCGCCCTCCCGCGCCCTCCTGCGCCACTGCCCTCCTGCGCCGCCGCCACCAGCCCCTCCGCCACCCCACCGCGGTTGCGCGCCCCCCCTCCCGCCCCCAAACCAACGCCCTTTGCCTCCCGTAGGTGCCCGTCAATCCCAAGCCCTTCCTCAACGACCTCACTGGCAAGCCCATCATCGCCAAGCTCAAGTGGGGCATGGAGTACAAGGGCGCGCGCCCGTGCATTTTTCAATCGGTTACCGGCGGCTCACTTTCGCTGTCTGTCATCAGCCTGCTCGGGGAGCCAATTTTTTATTCCCTGTGCCTTAACCTTCTTCAATATTTATTGGGTGCCTATTCTTAAACTTCTTCCCGGAAATTCC